ACTACAGCCCACTTCCGAAGAAGTGGGCTGTAGTCCACGAAAGCTTATGCTCTAATAAATTTGTTAGTCTCTAAGGTGCCACAAGTACTCCTGTTCTTCTTTTTCCACTTATAAAGTACCTTTTGACCAAGGATCTTGAAGTGCTTTACCTGCTTGATTTTAGTATTTGTATCTTTATAACTCCTGCCAGACAAAGACCTGAAACTCTTTCCAAAAACATAATTAATTAAGCCACCATATGATAGGCATGTGTTATTATTTCCCCCTATTTTGATAGATGGGGAAACATTGCCACAATGAGGTGAAATCACAAAGTCTTGTGTGCTGAAGTCAAACCTCTGACTATGAATAACCAAGAGTTTAATTTAGGGCTTGTGTATATTAACAGTTAGTGCATAGCAACCTGGGATGTAAATCCAGCCTGCAGCATGCTAACTGTCCATGCGGGCCCTGTTGCCATGCACTTAAAGTTCCCTAGTGCACTTTAATCTACTCCTGTTTCATAGCAGATCAAAGCACACTATGAAACTTTTAGTGCGCAGCAGCTGATTCCACATGGCAGTGAATGCGTGGCAGGCTAAAGCGAGGTAAATTCACACCCCAGCTTTCCACACGCTCACTTTTCATAGAGACAAATCCTTACGCATGTCACCATTGTGGTTTGACCGTCCTGTGTTCTGCTGTTGTCATTCCACTGTGATTGACAGATGGTTATTGGTGTGCGATGGCTTCCTTCCAATTTCTTTGTGATATCATGTAGCCAGTGGTAGGAAGGACAGTGGCAGGAAGAAGAATGTGACCACTGATTCTTACCATTATAGATGAAGTCCCCATTGTCTTCAGTAGGGCCAAGATTTCATGTGTGGTATTTAGATTATTACCAGGAGAATGGTGCAATTTAATCTTATATGACTTCTGCTTCTAAAATGGGCAAATAGATGATAGTTGTGTTACCATTGTACCAATAGTTAGTACGGTTGTGGTAAACATTTCTAGCTAGTGTATTGCTGTTGCTTCATATTTGGCCTGAGAAAACATACCATATATACTCGTTCATTAGCCCATTCATTTATAAGCCGACCCCCCAAAATGGATAGGTAAAAATAGCAAAAACTGTATGACCCTTTCATAAGCTGACCCTTTATTTCAGGGGTTGCAAAACTTTGGCTCCCAGCCATCAGGGTAAGCCGCTGGCAGGTTGGGACGTTTTGTTTACTTGGAGTTTCTGTAGGCACGGAGCCCCTCAGTTCCCTGTGGCCGCGGTTCACCGTTCCCAGCCAATGGGAGCTGCGGGAAGTGGCATTTATAAGCCGACCCCCGCTCTTTGATGCATCACTTTTTTACCAAAAACATTCAGCTAATGAATGAGTATATACGGTATACAAAATTTCACAGGGGTATTGCAGCATGCCCATGAGTTCTGTCTGATTGATCCTAGTACTTACTATTGAATTTCACCTCGTAGATCACTCCATCTTTGCAGCCAAATGCATCTGCTAAGTTCACAGCACCAGTTAAAAAGGGCATGGATCATTGAATTAAAAAAAATAATTAAATTCTTTCTAACAAAAAAGATTTGGGTTTTGCTTCAAGCTTTCATCAGAAGGTCAAGTGGGTTTTATGTTTCTCCAAATTGGTTCACCCATGCCTGGTGGAATATTCAGATACCACCTCTAAGCCTGCAGATTTTTAACTAGCTATCGAAAGTGGTTCTCATGGACTCTATAGTGCAAACAGATATTCTCTGATGAATGCCATATGAACTTATATAAGACATAAACTATTAATTGTCACTGAGGATTGCACAAATATCCTAGAGGATGGTACTGCATTGCTGAGACCACCGTTATTAAAAGAACAAATAGGAGAGTTGCAAGTTGAGACGTCATTAGAATTTAATTATAGGAAATCGGACCTCATTAAACAAACTATTTAACTCTGTTTCCAGGAGTGAGAGGGGATTTAGCCTGTAAGTATTAGCCTGCTAATAAACATCCAGACTGGATTAACAGGTGTAACAAGTGACTCCTTCTGACTTCATTTTTAAGATATGAAATCATTACAGAATTTTTCTGTTTTTATATTATGATATATTGCATTTCAAACTGCCATTTGGTTTAGATTTTAGCTGATTTATATATGTTAATTAAAATACTCTATTTAAAACATCTATTGAGTTTGTATCAGATAAATCTATTTCCAGTACAACACTCTAAATTCCCCTTATCACTCCCGGAATCTTAGGATCAAATTCTGTTTTTTGAATGCACAAGCCAAACTTCCAGTGAAGCTATGGGAATTTGGCCCATATCTGCTAGGACAACACTGTCATTTTTAGTGCAGTGTGTATGCCATCAAAATGGTGCATAACTTTTGTGTGTGCAAAAATATCTATCTATGCATGTAAAGTGGGTATGTTTAATTAATCTACTCTTAATCTAATCTTGTGAAATGAGTTTGGGCTTTATATGCCAGTAGACAGTTGCACACAGACTTCCTAGACATCTTTCTACCCATTCAGCCTTGGGATTTTCTGCTGAGGCTGCTAGCAAGGGAGCCAGTTGTGGTCAGGGCCGGCTCCAGGCACCAGCCGACCAAGCACGTGCTTGGGGCGGCACCTTAGAAGGGGTGGCCAATGTTGGGGTGGCGGGGGGCACTCACGGTGTTAGTTAGTTTGTTTTTTTGTTCGGCGGGGCGGCGCTCGAGGGTTTTTTGTTTGTTTGTTTGTTTTGGCCAGGCAGCGCCGGCGACGCGTTGCTGCGGGGGGGAACGGGGCTTCGGCGGTGCGGCTCGGCGCTCCGGGGGGTGGGGGCTGGGCAGCATGGTGCTCGGGGGGCGGGGTTTGGCTGGCGCGGTGCTCCAGGGAGGGGCGGAGGTTTGGGCGGCCCGGCGAGGCACTCTGGGAGTTTGGGCGGCCCAGCCTGGCGCTCGGGGGGGGGGAGGGGTTTGGCTGGCCTGGCAAGGCGCTCCGGAGGTTTGGGTGGCGCGGCGCTCAGGGGGCAGGAGTTTGGCTGGCCCGGCGAGGCACTTCGGGGGTTTCGGCAGCACGGCAAGGCGCTGGGGGGGGTGTTACGGCGGGGCGGCGCTCCTTTTTGCCTGGAGCAGCAAAAAAGTTAGAGCCGGCCCTGGTTGTGGTGGTGGAGTGTTTTGTGATGTGGACACCTGGAAACCAAAGAGTTCCCTGCTCTATGTCCACCTAACTCAATGGGGGGTTTTGGTCATCAGGGAACAGTGTAGTGGGTAACTTCAGTTTAAATACATCCCTAACTTGTTGTTTTTTTTTAATCCACAGCTATGGTGTGATTTTGACAAACCAATACCCTTTAAGAATCAGACTTTCAATTCCTCTGAATCTTTTACAGATATCTGCTCCTATCCTGAGGTATTTCTGAGTTTATATTTAAACTTGTTGAGATCTTAGTGTTTATCAACTGGATAGAAAACTGGTAGAAACTGGTAGATCATGCTGGTAGAAAACACAATGGAAAGTTACAACCAACCTGATGGTCTTGTAGGACATTACAACCAGTTTTTGTCCTCTATTATTGATACAATGGTTCCTGAATGCCCCTCCCTTTGCATTGTTCTCACAGATCACTTCCATAGGCAGGTGAACTTTGGCAGACATATGCAGTGTTAGGAGACTAGGGTGGCTATGACAAAATAACATTTTGAAGTCCTATGCTATGGCGAAGGCCAAAGAAGAGTTGGTTTTGCAATCAGCACACCTGTGAGGCCTGTTTGCTCACTCATATCCCTATTGAGCCAAGCGCTTATGCACATCCTTATGTTCCATTCAAGGTAATGAGAATAAAGGAGATGCCTGAGTGATTGGCTAAACCGGGATCTTAGACAGTGAGAATGAGACACTTGTTGTTGGCTCAAACTCCTGTTTGAGTTCACTTTTGTCAATGTTTCTTTGTTGTTTGCATTATAGACTTTTAAATAATTGTAAATGCACCTAGAGATTATTCCTGGGTTCAATAAAATACAAAAATAAATGCCTTGCATAATGAAACCTGTCTGGTCATTCAGTGACAGACCTGCGGGTGGCCATATTACAACAGAAAAACTTCAAAAACAGACTCCAACGAGAAACTGCTGAGCTAGAATTGA